TAAATATGTTCATGTCTGATCTGATATGGGTGTATATGGACACATCAGGTTATATAAAAAATTTTTTTGACGATGACAGAAAAGTCAAGCACTAACATTGAAAAAAAAATTTTCGTGTAGATAATAAATATAAATACGATGAATAGAACCCAGCCGATTATTGACTATTATACTATGTAATATTATTCATGCAAAAAATTGTACATAGCAGGCGAAGAAAGCTCGCCTGAAAAGTATAACCATAAATGCAATGATACAGAATGGAATTAATAGCAAATTGGGACGATAGAAAGTGAATTGCCCATAAAAGTCAAATCTCAATGTGCAATTAGGGAATGAAAATCTCTCAATAGGATATTCAATCCTTTTTCCTCCCCATCTCATTCTGTTCTATTCTTCATCATCTTTCAACCTTTTTCCCCATTTATCTCATTCAAAAAATACCTATGGATTTTATTTTATATATATATACATACAAAGAGACTGACAGAAAAAGAGATTTATATTTATAATCCTCTATGCTTTTAAACCCTCAAGCTCAAACATTTTATTTTTAAAAAACTATTATCGTTTTTCTTCATACACTTTATTTCATTTTTTTATATGTATTTTATCTTAGCAAAATCACATTTTTTATTTTAATTCGTCGTAAATTTTATTAATAATAAAACTCGCAGAATATGGCCATGGAGTACAACATTGTTTATTTATTTATTTTGTCGATAATGCAATTTAATGTTTAATATTAAAAACAAAATATTAAATGTTTCATTTCAATGTTGTGCTGTTGATAAATAAATTTAGAACGGCAAAAATTTTGTTTATTTTACCAATGAATATTTGAATAAACCCTCGAATAATAATTTAAATTTTAGTCGATAAATAAATAAATCGTAAGCGTCATTAGTCGCGAACTTGACTATCCAATGTATAAATTATTGTCATTAAAACATACGCATTATTATTTTGAAAATTCATATGCATACATTCCTGGTATTATTCGTAAATACTACACCGTGAATATATTAATTGATTATCGGTAGTGTAAAGCCACAATGACCTATAATTATTATCATATTTATTTAACGAGCGTGTATGAAATATAATTTCATGTAAATTTAAATAAAGTATTAACGGAGTGAATGAAAAATAAAAATAATAATAATTAATATTTTAAATGCGTAATTCTTTTTGTTTAATCTGGATTTATTGTCGTTAAAAATGAGCAAATAAATAAAAGATTCGGATGTGAATATTTAATCCAAAGCGAGCTTTTTAAGATTATTTTAGCCGTTTTGAAGGGTCAAAAAAAGCCCACCATTGTCAATTTCTTTTAGTGCACAAGGAATATTTTGTGAGAATACTCACTCAATAATTTTTTGTATTCTATTTTTTCAATTTACATTCCAATGAATGAGTAAAAAAATGATTTCAGTAAAATTACACAGCCTAATAAATACAACAATCAAAATATCGAGAGATATAATAGTTAGCTAAATTTAAAATCGATATTTCGTTGAAAGAATTTTATAGCAAAATCTAGAGTGTTCACATTGAGTAGCACTTACGGATAAGTAAAAAGGATGATCGGATTTTCACTCTCGCATTTTTTTTAACTCATCCAATCTTCTTTTCTTTTAGCTACTGAGTATTTCAACACTCTATTTTTTTTATACTTTTTTACCTCGACAATTTTTTTTATTTTCATTCGATTATATCTGTTTCTTTGTCACTAAATTGGAAACGGAAAAATTCTAAAGAGATCGCCGTTCGTTTATGACAAGTGATAATTTAGCAGCTCTAAATATTATTGGAGTGTTAACGAGCCACTGTTGTATTTAAACTGAATCAATTATTGACAATATTTACCATTTTACATAGTATGATTAACGAGCCTTGTTATTTATGAATTCGTGAATTTTATTATGTATAGTAAAATAACTATTATCGAGTTACACCGAAAAAAATTTTAAGGAAAAATATAAAATTGTCACACTGTAATCCAGGATCAGATTTTCAATAATTTTACATTTTTAAATTTACGATGTTCGATCGTAAAAATGCATAAAAAAGTAATAAATATCCGAATTTTTACGATGTAACATCGTAAATTTTTTAGTGTAAAAACATCAAAGTGACCGTATTGAAAATCTGGTCCTGGATTACGATGTGATAATTGTTATTTTTTTCATATGTACATTGTAACTAAATAAAGAGTATCATTACAATGTACACATAGAAAAAAATTTTATTATGTATTATTTTAACAATTTTATAATTATTTATTTTTTTTTTATGTATGACCTATGGAATACTAATAATTGAATTATAAATATGCATGATGAATAACACTATGTAGAATAAGGCGATAGAAAATATTAAAAATATTTTTAATTAAAAATCTTAGATAGTGAAATTAATATTACGGGGAAAAAATTTAATATATAATAATAAACAAACATAAGACAAAAACTGATCACAAATGTTGACAAACTAAAAATAACTAATTAGTTTCGTGCTATTTTTCTCAGCTGTCAGATTTGGATTAAATCCGCATATATATATATGTATTAATGGTCAAGCGCAAAGGTGGGTCAAGGGTTGAAAAGGGTAGAGTATCACTCTAACAATGTGTCCTGTGGTAGACCAATATTGTGTTATGTGTATATACTACATAGCCTTGCATTTACCATAAAAAAGACCATTTTTCTATTCTACGCTTCGTTCTATTTTCCGCTCTATAATATAACTGGAGACTGAAAATTACTTCATTTAATATTTTTCTCTTTCAGAAATTGAGTAATAAAACCCATTTCTATTTATTTCATTTTTATATTTCCTCGGAAAAAAGATATTGTAAAAAATAAACGTTTCTACCTTTTATTCTAACAAAATTAGAGCAATATCTATTTTAAGTTACAAAATTAGTTTCTATTCATTTTCATCAGTTGTAAATTTTTTTTTAATAAACTCATAGAAACATAAAATTGCATATAATCATAAATGAAATTTTTTTATGCACTGTCAAATTTTTTACAACGTAGTTATCAATACTGATCTAATTAGTTGACTATCAATTTGATTTATCAATCTGTCAATAAACGCATTGTTATTCAGAGATGATAAGCTTCGGATAAATGACCATCAGTTGTGCAATCCATTCACTCATAAAAATCAAAGAAACACTGACAGTATTTACATTCATTGCATAACAGATGTTCATATAATTTGTGAAATGATATAATGCTCATATCGCGGCCTTGTATATTGACCGACACAATTATTTGATTTGTAATATTTAATTAATTTTTTATTACCAAATTAATTGATTAAGATTGTTGGATAAAAAATAGTGTAATATTAAAAATAATTTATTATTATTATTTTTGATAATAAACAACCTCGAGTTACTTGCTAATTTATCAACCTATCATAAATTCTTTTACTTTTTTATAGAATAAATACTTACGTCAAACATTATTCCATGGAGATAGCAAACTTTATCAAATTAATTGAGATCATGTTAGATTATTTGCTCGCTTATTGTACTAAACAAATTATTTATTTTAATAATCTGATAAAATTTGTGACTGTAAAAAAATTAATTATGTAAGAAAATTCGAGCGCTGCAATTTAGTGAATAATAATAGAACAGAAAAAAAATGACCTTGCTTAAATATTAATTTTTACAAAGTAACAAAGTTAGGAGAACTACTAATAAAACAACGGAAAAAATAGCTTAGATGTAAGAAAATAAAATTATAAATGATAAATGATCGTCCTTGTGAAATAATTATTTTCTTACGCATTTAATAAAAAGGTCTCAGACACGATGGCGTAATTTGGGTTAATTAATGGAAAACATAAGGTTTTTTTAGCACAACTTTTTTTTTTTTTAATCAAGACAATTACATCAACAGAAAAAATTAAAACGAATTATTTTAAATCATAAATGATTCGACTATCTGCTGAATTAATTAACTGGATAAAAAAATATCAAAATTACGTACTAATTAAAATTAAATTGAACTGAAAAATCATATCATCGTGAGTAGTTAATTTTTAGAAAATTAACGGGTATTAATTTTGAATTGACGTTATCATCACTTCCGTGGCAATTATTTTTTTTTTTTTTAGTCTATTAAACGTGGAATCATTTAACAGTTGCCGATAATTTGTGGTAAATAGATGTTAATTTATCCACTTTTATTGCATTGAATTTCTGGCGTCATTTTTTTTTTTAGGCAATTATTTTATGACATAATTGAAACAAGTGATTTTTTTATTGAATAAATTTGACAAAATTAATTATTTAAAAAAAAATATTATCATTAATTAAAGTAATGCGGCAATATCAATTATTGAATTGGAATTAACCTAATAATTAATTAAACATTTCAATTTAATATATATATAATAAAAAAAATGAATGAATATAGCTTATTGAGTTAAGCTATAATATCCAAAGTGCAGCATCAATGGTAGCAATTAAGAGTGACTCGGCAAATATTTTCGTAGGATTAAATTGGCTGTTACGATTACAAATGACTGTTAGTTAACTCGTCATGACACGCAATGCTGAAAGAGATTTTCAAGCTGCAATTGCCGGAGAAAAAAGACCAGTGCAGAATGTGTTGAGTATAAATAAGAGACGGTTCGCTATCCGTTCGCTTTCAATATCAAATCTTCACTTTAGCTGGCTGGATTGTTCAATTTTATTTTGTGATTAATTTTATATTTATTGCAGTGAGTGAATCTTTACTAATCTGATATTTATTTTAAAATTAATCATCAATAATAGTGTTTATTTATTAATTAAATTTTTAAAGTGATTGTTTCTATTTACAAATGTGTTAAAATTTTTTTTGTTTTAAGGAATTTGTGTTGAAAAAATATTCAAAGTACATTTGTATAAATTACAAAGTTTTAAATGAAAAAAATTGTTTTTTTTTTTAGTAAAGAATATATTTTCCAGGTTCATTTAAAGAAATTAATAAAAAATGTCAGTACCAGCGTGGTTATCAGCGCCGTTTATAGAAAAAGCATTACGCCGGTCTGAAAATGACGATTCAATTTGTATCGTTGATTGTTCGATTAAACCGGCAACAAATAAAGGTGACAATTATACAAGTGACATGCACCGAGTTACTGTTGAGTACAGGCATAATCAAGGAGCCAAAGCTGTCACGGAAAAAATTTCCATTATCGTCAAAGTAGCTCCGACTGCAGAAGGTATCCATAAGGATTTAGTGAGTGATTTTTAATTTTAAATCACAAATTAATTTATATTATTACTAGCTGTCACTCGCCTGCTCCGCTGAGCGCTTTATAGAATTGCATTTTTAGCTCTAGACTTAAAATTTAATTAGAGTATTGTTTTGACTTGCACACACAGTAAAAAATTTTTCGTCAAATTTAACACAAAAATTTGTGTTGATGACTTTTTTTACACAATTTGTGTTGAATCAACATACTAAAATGTTAAATTTTACATAAACATTTTTATACTTTACACAATGACGAAAAATTTTTTACTGTGCGCGCAGATTCCAATTCTATCGAATTGGCATGCACCTTTTATCCATGTAATTATTCTAGCTAATATTCATTGTAACTTTCAATGTGCAATCATAACATTCCCGTGTCTTTCTTACAAAAATGAATAATAATTGATATAAAAAAAAAAATTTGTAATGAGCATTGAAAGTTTCAGTTAATTAAAGAAATTGCAGGTCTCACAAGTGAAGAAATCTGCCTAGTATATTTTATTTTTATTTTATTTTATTTTATTTAAATAAACAAACCCAACAGCCAAAGAGCCATTAACAGGGTTAATAATACAACAGTTAGTATATAAAAAACAATTTTTGATGTATAGCAAGATGACTTACAGCTAGCATAGTGATTTCATATTTAATAGAATATTAATATTAATATTAATTATAGAGGTACTTAATATATCTATATGAATTATAAAAATTAATATTAATTATAAATTCAATAGGTAGATTGCTAAATGAGTAGAGCATTGATGTGTTAGCAATTGCAAACAAAAACAAAAAATAATATTGATTGATAAAATTAAAAAGAAAAAAATAATATTAATACTATGAATAACAATAATTATTTGATATTAATTATTATTATTATTATAAAAGTTGTAGCAATTGCACATAATTAACACCATTAAGTTGATAATTTGCCAAGTGATGCTGTTATACAGCATTCGTTATATAAACATAACCAATAGAATTAAAAAATTTATTTTAAACAAATGACAATCGAATAGAATAAATTTAGTTACAATAAAAATTCATTGTTTTCAAGTAAAAAAAATATAGACTACGGATAAGTAATCACCAACATATCATATACTAAAACCTTATCCGAAACACGCTGCATCTTATGGTATAAGTATTTTTCCGATCGGTTCAGTAGTTTTCGCAGTATGACCGGACAAAAAAACCGGCTCTCCATTTATTAGTATAGATTATTGTTATTATTAAAAGTAATAATGAAATTTTCAAATGAGGACTGATTTCAATTTTTTTTAAGACAATGTTGAATTAATTGAAATAGAGATCTTTACGCACGATCGGGAAGACCCAGGTTCGATTCCTGGCTTGGTCCGATTTAAATATTTATGCACACCTTATAACCGAAGCCTTTGATTTTTTAATAATTAATTAGAAATTTGATTATTTAATAATTAAAAAAAATTTTTTACTGAATATTTTTTTTAATGTTGAGATTGCAGAAGCTGGACTTTTTGGTATTGAAATAAAAATGATGACCACGACGTTAAAAGAAATGCAATTGATATTGAAAGACAAAAAATTAAGCGGAAGGTGTTTATACACTCAGGAAAAAGATCCACCGCTTTTAATAATCGAAGACTTGGCTCCTCTCGGTTTTCGAATGGCTGACCGTCAAGCTGGCCTTGATCTACATCATTGCATACTCGCATTACGGGGATTAGCCAAATTTCACGCAAGTTCTGTTGCAGTTTATGAAAAAGTTCGTATTATAATGTTTCAAATATATCATTCGTTTTTTAAATGAAAAGCATCAAAATTACATCAAAATTTGTCTATTAATTCAGACGCCAAAGTACAAAGAAACGTATGTAAAAGGAATATTCAATACTGGGAATCCGCCAGACATGATAAGATTCTTCACAAGTGGAATGAAGTCCCTAGCGAAGGCCGTAAAGTCTTGGCCGGAATTAGACGACACATATGCCGATAAATTGGACAAATTAGCGGATGTTGCATACGAGCGGGCATCTGAGTCCCGAACCCCAGACGAATCTGAATTCAATGTCATAAACCACGGAGATTTTTGGGTCAACAACATGCTCTTCAAGTACAATGATGATGGCAAGGTTATCGACCACATTTTCGTAAGTATTGATTATTTATTACTTTAATAGAAGTGGAAGTTTTAAATATAAATGCAAAAAAAAATTATTTTATTCAAGAGAAAAAAATCTTAAAACAAAATAATGAAAAAAAATTTTTGCAATGAAAAATTATTGTTTTAATTAAATTTTTCTTGACTCAAAAATTTTTTGTCTATTAATTATTTTAGAGAGAATTTATCAAAAAATGCTTCTTTTTTTTTTTAAATATTGAAATTTATTTATTATATATCAAATTAATAAAAAAATTACGTTAATTTTTAAATATATAAAAAAATTCCCTGCGAAGATTTTTTATTATTAATAAAAGATAAAAATTTTTAAAAATGAGTTTCACTCCCGAAGTTTCTTGCACTGTATGAAGTAAAAATTTTTTTTTCAACCAATTAGTTTTTTTTTCAATCTATAAAATATATTAAATAAAAAGTTGATCTGAACCGGCGAACCCAAGGATCAATAATAAAAATTTCTCAGCAACACAGACTGAATAATATTCATTTATTGAATCATAAAACATGAGCTCCAATAATGATGATAATAGCAGCAGCAAAAGACTAAAAAATTTTTCAACATTAACTTTCATGACAGGACTCAGCTTGGAGACTTTATTCATCTCTAAAAGAGCATCCGGTATATAGGTAAAAAAGGAGAAACCTACTTCAAGTAGTACGCACGTGATCTACTCTAAAAACTCGAGTCTTGAGACTGGAAAAAATTCAATGTTATATATAGGTATAATATGTATTAACTCGTATCCTCTAGCTAGGGTTTCGAAGTAACGCGGCTTCGCGAGAGTCATGCTACGTGAATAATGCAATGAACTCCATCGTAGTGGATAGGATTCGACTCTCCAGACACTCTGACTACAATGTGCTTTTACTTTTGCACCTTCGGTGTGTACTAAAAATGTAAAGACGCTGAGAAATAAAATAAAAGTCTAGTTTTATTTTCAACTACCGCGGAGAATCAAAACTTAGGTTTTACCTGTATAGGTACTGTTAAGTCAACACTCACCCTTTCTTGCTTACATCCGACGTCTTATCCAAGTCGACTAAATTTTTACAACTTCCTTAACACAAATTTTTTAAATCATCGAGCTATTTGTTCTTGATAAAAGACTTTTTTAATTTTTTTTCAAAATTACTCTTTATTTATTTATTTATTTATTTATTATAACAATTACTGTACATATTACATTATTTATTGAATTAATCTTTTCAAATTTTACACAAAAATTTTCTACGATATTATTTTCCCATATTTTTAATAAAATTTTAATCAAAAGATTGTGCTAGATTTTTTTATACTTCAAATTAGATTGATTTATTTCCATAAATTTCAGGTTGATTTTCAACTATGTGTCTATGGCTCGCCAGCAGTCGACTTGGCCTACTTTTTCAACACGAGTCCTTCCGAAGAAGTTTTGTCAAAACACACGGACAACCTGATTGAAGAGTACGTAAAAGTCCTGTCAGAAACGATGAAGAAAATAGGTTGCAAAAGACCTCCTCCCAGTATCGCTGACATAAAAAAATCATTGGTCAAAAGAGACGTGTATGGTTTTGTGGCAGCATGCACAATTCTGCCCATCGTTATGATTGACAAAAGTCAGGCCCAAAACATTGAAGAAATAATGGGACAAGACGACGGAGAGTTCAATAACAAATCTTATGAAAATCCGATCTACAAAAAAACCATGCTCAGAAGATTGCCCCAGTGGAAGGCAGCCGGACTGCTTGAAGCTTAATTAATTATCGTTTTATTTATTGATGTAGATATTTATTGTGAATTAGCGAATTTGCACTGTTTTATCAAGATCAATCAATCTTAATAAATCAATCATCTTCATGATTGATCATCTTCATGATGATCAATTAATGCACGAAAAATGCAATTTGAGTAGAAAAGATATCAGAGTTTTTCAAATTTCTGTTGATCTCAAATGAAGAATAAATTGTTGTTTAAATTATTGTTTTGTGAAATAAAACTTTATGAATTTAGGAAGATATTTTTTTTTGTTTTCAAAGATTATGTATACACAGAAAGAAAAGTTTCTTGACTGGAGAAAAAAATTCTTGGCTTAAGTAAATTTTCGGGTGCCTGAAGGAAGACCGAAGTTGTGTTGGCCGAAGTAAAAATTTTTCTTGAAATTCTATTCTTGGTGGAAGTAATTTTTTCTTAGTTCAAATGATCATAAATACTTGATACAATAAATTTTTATATTCGATCAAGATTTTAAGATACTTTAGGGAAGTAGCGCCACCTACTTCAGCTGAGAAAAAAATTTTCTCACTTTGAGAAAATTTTTCTCTTGAATATTTGACCCTTATTTTAGATTATTTTAGCACGCTATTATACATATTGAATAAAAAAAATGATTCAATATTATTCCTTCTTCCTATTTAACATGTTAATTAATAAAAAAATTGATAAAAATTTACTTCTATCGAGATATTTAATTTTTTGGAGCAAGAGGCTGAATTTTCTCAAAACAAAAAAATTTTCTTGACTTAAATAAATTTTCTTGGATCAAGATACTCATTTCTTAACACAAGAGAATTAATTTTGTTGGAATAAGTGAAATTTCTTGTGTCAAATAAAAATTTTTATTTCGCTCAAGAAAATAATTAGGAAGAAAAATATTTTCTTGGCTCAAGTGAACCTTTCGTTCTGTGTACTTGATAAAAAAAATTGAGAGTTGAAACAAATTTTATATATTAAATTAATAATAAATAATTCAAATGAAATATAACAAATTTAAGTTTTTAAATAATAATTATATTGTTTCGAAAAATTTGACTTTGGAATGTTGAACTTAATTTTCATAAAAATTATCTGTTTTTCTTTTATTGGTAAATCTTAGCGTAGAAAGTAAAAAATAATAAATTATTCTTTGTAGAAATTAAAAAAAAAATATTGATGCAAATATTTTTTTGCAAACATTCAAATTAATTTGTTGCATCAATCTAAGAAAAAAAGGATATATTAATTAAAAAATTTTCTAAATACGCATTTCATAATTTTTAAACGAATAATTTTCAGTAAAAAATAAAAAATCCCTTTCGTAAGGTTTTTTTATGAATAATAGCAGGAAAATTCTTCTTGAAGTAAATTTTACTCCGGAGGAATTAAATCAATTGAAAATCATTAACTCCTTATTGACTCTCCAAATTTTTTACTGTACAGTCAAAATGTCTAACCGGAAAATATTTGAACTGTGAAATTGACCGTAAATCTTTAAACGATAAACTGTAGGAAACCTCTACGATAACTTTGTTGTGAGTAAATATGCACCAAATATGATTATGATTACATACGATATGAGTGTAACTTTATGTTATGCAGGCACGCAAGTTCAACAAGACAAATATGTACATGAAATTTACCTTGTGGGAGTAAATTATTTACCAAATCAAGTTAACTGATCAGAAGTATCATTGATCAAACCATAAATGAATTTAACTTGGAGTAAACAATTTTCATTTACATCAAATCTTGTTTACATTTAGTTTGTCGCAAAGGTCAATCTATTGAATAGATTTGACATGATTTATTAAAAAAAATTTACTGCATTTATCAGAATATTAGATATTAATTCTGTAGACTCAGCAATTTTTCAAATGAAACACAATTAAAAAAACCAAAATGAAAAAATGGACTTATCCCTACTGAAATAAAAGTGGAAATAACGAGATAAGACGATTCAAATATTTGAGCTCAAATAATGGCAAATTAAAACAATTATAAAATACCTTAGCTTGATTTATCTAACCGTCAATCCACTTAAGCTAGCCTCCTCCTCGACCTCCTCGACCCCGGGCTCTCAGACGAACATTTATATCTATACTAAATCTCACCTGAAACATAAATTCCGGAGTTTTCTAGCTTTTTCCTTCCAGAGCATCACTGTCCTCTACACTGATCTCATTTCCAATTCAATCTAACGGCAGTCGTATAATATACCAACTCGGCCCCGACTTCTTATTCTCTTCGAACTCGGGTAGTGTAGGCACAGGTGAATTTCCAATTGGTAAGTACATAGCATATCTGCGATAGATATCCCTGTAGAATACTTCCCGAATACAATAAGGAATATTCCAGCAGAATACATTATTTTTTTTCTTTTCGTCGATTTCGAGTTATTTCATTTAACTTTGTTCATAGCAATAATAATAATTGAAATTTTTCAAACATCTCTTTGAGTATCAACATATAGCATTTGATACATTTTCACATTTATTATTTTTACCCGTCCAGACAATAAAAATTAATAGTATATACTTTTCAATTTTTTTTACATTGTATTGCATGTCTTAAGCGTGAGCGTAGGTATGCTCTACTCTCACCTAAAAATCAAGATCCCGTGTTTCGTCGCAATAATTTGTATCTGACAGACATAATATGCATATAAATGCTACAAAAAGTACACTGTCAGATAAAAAAATAATCATTGATCATTTAAAAAAATTTTTTTAACAACTATTTTTAGATAATTACATAAAAAAGTGGTTTTTTGCACGAGAGTACGATCTAGTAAATCACTTCAACCAAACGCCGATCTCTTTTGAGTAGTAGAGATTACCGACAAAAAAACGGATCTAACCTGGTAAAATTAAATTGGTCATTTTAAAGATCTTAAAAAAGTAAAGCATTCAAATACTTAGCAATTAAAAGAAAAGATTTGAAATTAAAAAATAAATATTGACAATAAAATCTGTCGAAATTCGGTAAACCCCAGCTGACATGATTGATTTTATTACCTCAATATATTTAACTTAACGATGCAATTAATTAGCCGATAGAACTATTAATACTAATAGTTGAACGAGAGTATATTAATTTATTGTTATCAACATCGCTCGAGGGAATCAATTATCTACACAATAATACGCTCATCTCACTGTCTCCCTTCTTCTGTTGTTCTCGCCCTCTCTTAGTTAAACTCACGCATCTAATTGCTACCGCGATATGATCGCATTCACTCTTACCCAGTCTATTCTCTGTGATCAAGAGTAGCTATAGACTATAGTACGCACAATGAAATAGCATAAATGATTAACTTTGAATACTAATTAATGCTCAACGAAGGTAGATTTTGTCTTTGAAACCCGTTTCAATCTAAGCCTCAGTATGAATTTAATTTATACCCACTTGTTTAATTAAGCGGCTTAGATTTCGATGGGCTTGTCAATTTATAAAGGGATGGATGAATAATTATGAACATTACCCTTTCACAGCCTTTTTCATTTTAATCCAACGATAAAATCCAATTAATTCGATGCCTGTCATCATTTTTCACGCCTCATAGCGCGTGAAGTAGTGCTCTACTTTCACCTTACCAAAATCAAGCAATTTAATAAATAATAAATAATAAAACAACACTCATTTTTACAAATTTGATAGTTTTAAAGGACATTTATTTTATTTAGTGTAAAAAAAACTGATTGAAAAAAAATTTCCAAGCCTGTAGATTATAACAACGCGCAGTTTCATATTAATTACAAATAGCTGTGTAATTCGGTGTCGTTAAATTACAATTAATAAAAAAAAACTAAAAGAAATCGGCTAGTCTTTTTTATATCTACACATCTGTAAATAATAAAAACTTTTCTATTTATAATTAATTTTCATTGCAAGAACTTTATAAATTTTCAACAATTTAAATGATCCTTCATCTTCATATTAAACAGGTATTAGAAGAATAAGGGACCGTTCAATTCATTGCTAAGTTATACCGTCAGACTAATGAACCAATTCCAAATTCAAGGCTCAAGTTCTGCAAGTTTGTAAGCCTTCTTTATGAGATCTTAAGGCACCCAAGGGTTGCTTTCTCGTTTACTACAAACTTTTGAATAAAAATTGTTAACGCTAAGAACTTCTATTGGGAAAAATTGAATATATTTTTACACGAGAAAACCACATGATAATGTAAAAAAAAATTTATTTTAATTCCAAAACGTAATTGAAGCTCGATGGAACTGAATAATAAAATAAAACTATAAAAATAAATATCGTAACTTAAAACACAATGTATTACATAATATCAATAAAGTATTTAAAAAAAACAGGCATTAAAATATTTCACACCGGGAAATTATTCATGGAAGAAAAAAAATTCTTGAATCAAATATAATCTAATAAAGTTTGGAAAATCCAAAAGTGCACGCCTCATCATCTCACAATAAAATTGATTAAAATAAAAGATAAAAAGCAAAATAATAAAAAACAGAAAACTCTGCTATGTCTTTTAATAATGATTTTTTTTGTCAGATCCCTTGTCATCTTATGTTTAAAACAATATTTAACTTCAAGACTTAACTTCATATCCGTCGACGTAGAAGTTCATAAACCGGCTGTAAGTATTACCATGCCACTACTACTATAGGTATTTTATTTATCCACAAATTATTCTCCTTTCCCCTTTGAGCTCTATGTAGTGTTTACGAGAAAAGTTCAGTCTTTGACTGTCAGGATGTTCCATCACAAATATGTGACTCGATACCCTTGTGGCGTAATAAAAAATAAACAGCCGAAGTATGCGCTCATAGTTGAAGGTAAATATTTAAAGATAAATAGATGATTCCTTTATGATTGCTATTTTCAAAGGAAATAATTGTGTACCCGATAACTTTAGACAGAGGTTATAGACGCAGAATCAGGATATGAGAAACTTGGGTGGAACAAGATCTTCAAAGGAAAGGCAATATCTATCGAAAGCCTTGGATCTATCCCGAATAACTCTGTCAC